TTTTTTTCTGACGGAAACTGAGCTGAGCTTTCAAAAAAATACCACTGAGCCGAATGTAAATGACATAGACTTAGTTGCTTACCGGCAGGACATGATTGTGTGTTACACACGCGAGTCTCTTCATTTGCGCCTGCGCAGTCACCATATCCCTGGCTGTAACCTTGACATTTCCGTTTACGATTCTGTGTTCCGCCACCGCAGGTTTTGGAGCATGCTGACCATGCACCCCAGGAACCCCAACTTACATAACCTAATTATAAACATAAGAGGGAATTATTCATTTATAGGGAATAGTATTAATTAGATTGGCCTTCACTGTGGGCTTTCGTGCTAGATCGGTATAGTCTCGTACCCAGACCTTTCACGGCCAGGCAGTTATGATTACACGGAAGGATCTGGGTACGAGATTAAGAACGGCTAAATTCTTATGAAAGAGTCAAATCTGTACAAGAGATATCTGAAAAGTGAAGAATTGTTGAACATAAAAGCTTTGCTGGTTATTCCTTTTTTCTGTGTGGATAGAGTGGAAGGCTAATAGCGTCTTTGTGCTTTCGATTCTTTTAACGCTGAAATTAAAAGGGGAGATTGTGGATGGATATGGCCGAGCAACGCTCGCCTACATTTTCTGCCTGAAAAGTTTGCACTGTAATCTGAACTGTACGAATAATTTTGTCTAAGACTGTAGATGTTTACATTATTCGTGAACATGAAAACTCTGTGCTTACTCGGACAATCCTTAAGCAAACACGACTTGGTCTGTTTACTCGGCCCAGTGCACGCTTGTCCTCCATGCTGGGGCGGAGGATTGGAACAAGATCGCCTCCTAGCCTTGGTTCCAGACCCACATGTTTTAGAGCAGTCTTCCCATGTCGACCATAGTGTCCAACGACCGTTTACTGAGGAAAAGAGAGGAAAGGAACGGAATAGTTTGATGACTTTTTTTGCTAATTTAAGATCCGAATTGTAAGACGCAAGCTGACTGATTCCAGAGACAAAGAATCCAGCTCAAGTGTTCTTTCTTGTTGTATTCGCTGTATGCTTTTTTGCATACCTGATGTTCAATCAGATTAAATTCAAATAAGTCCCTCTTCCAGCGATTTCTATTGACTCGTCGGACGAATTATGCTGGAGAAAAGACTAAGTGTGAGGCACAATCGGATATGACAACACTTACAGCGAGTATTTCTGCTATCGATAACGATCCACCTAATGGCAGCACACATTTCTCCGACCTCACTGCACGACTTTGAACTTGCTTTATTGTTTACAGGGTGAGTATCCAACTGACCCAATTGTTTTTGCTTCCTAATGGAACGTAAAACACAAAACAAAACAGTATCTAGCTGTCTTGCCTGGTAAATGTTGGGCAATAATTTTTATGTCACAAAATGACAATCTGTGTCGCCCCTGTTTCCAGTGGAAAACAAGATTCGCCTCAGTTTACCGAGGAACTATGTATCTCTTACAGAATAGAATGAGAAATGTTATGTTTACTTGGGCAAGGATTTTTTATGCATTTCTTCGTCTGTTTACTCGGTCCAGAGCAGTACTTGCCGCCATATGCTGGTCTCGGTTTGTTACAATAGCGACTGCGGAATTGTGTACCAGTGCCACATGTCACAGAGCATGCGCGCCAGTGGCCCCACGTACTCCAAACGCCATTCACTAAGAATCAAATTTTCAACTTTCACATCAGTATCACTCTTTTGATTGAAACGACCCATTGGCACCGTACAAACTACTTATTCACAACAGGCGAACCGAAGAGAACGACCTATTGCTAACTATGATAATTTTGGTATTATCAACTGAGCTGATAACGTAAATCGGTCCCCGTAAAGAGTTTCAAAGCTGACGTTTCGAGTATTAGCCCTTCGTCAGCGAAGCGTCGGCTGTGAAACTCTTTACGGTGGCCAGTTTTATATTATTAACAGATCTAATAAAATCAAAATGATCCTGTTATACTACTCCACCGACGCAGTGGTATAGTTTATTCAGAAACTTACCCTTTTGATTTCTAAAAATACCGACTTTTCGAAAGCGTAGGGTACCTGAGTCTTACAACCAATGAGTTTGCGGCAAAAGTAACCAATCATATTGAACGAACTAAACTGTAGTGCTCGACTGATCGAAGGACGATCAGATATCGCAAGAGTTTGGAACTCTAAGGATGTACTGAAGAACATTGCTGACTTTGCGCGAGGACATCGAAATCTATGTACGACGAGATCAAATCGCACGTTTCAATATATTTGGACAGCATAAAAGTAATGCTTATCCAGTCGACCTTATCGCCTGAAGAAGACCACCTGTATACAGTCGAAACGTAGCGATCCACTTGAAGAGACTGCAAGGCATTTTCTTAGAGAAATTTTTAAAAAGCATTGTTGTTCAAAATTGCCGCCCTTAAACAATCTTTGCTTCGCTATTCTAAATAATTTCTTTCTTAAATAAACCACAAATATTCTGACCTGAACATCTTTTCACCAGACACGTTTTAGTCTGAACACCCGGTCCAATGCACACTCCTCCATATTTCGGCGGGGGATTGGTACAGGTTCTACGGCGTGTTTGACTCCCTCCAGTCCCACAAGTCTTTGTGCACGCGGACCATTTTCCCCACAGTGACCAACGGCCGTTTACTACAAGAAACATAAATCATGGCCATAGGTTTTTATTGAGCTTTAAGCTTATATTCTTTTCAATTCAATCTAACAAAATATGTTACGCCCCGTAGTTTATATTGTAAAGTGATAACTTCAAAGCCAAGAGGGTTATGGTGTCCTATTAAGAACCTTATCTCGGAAGTAAATAGGATATCTGTGACACAATTGTAATTCAAAGCTCCAAGCTACAAAGCATCCTGAAATCACTAATCGGAAGGTCACATGTTTTGACTCCAATGAGGAGCAACTGGTTTACCTGTGACTCTGACTAAGAAACATCATCTGTCTTTACTTTTGATACATTCATTACCTGTAACTTTCCTGGAACAAAGTATTTTGGACTTAGGTAATTTCCTATGACACATTTGATACTGTGAAGATTACCGTTTAGAAAGATTTGCGTTAATAGACTTTCGATGGAAAATATAGTCAGGCAAATTCAATTTAGATTCATGGGCAATCTAAAGCTGCATATGTTTTTCTTTACCTTGCTTGTTGATTGGTATAAAAACATCTTTCGACGTTCGTGCAAAGTTAAGTATAGTGGCGAATTAGTCCCTCACGTTTTTCGTGGCAGTTTTCTTTTCTTTACTTTGAGGTTTCATTAGATCATTGTGATATTTTCCATGATTGCGATTACAGTGCTTTTTTAACTGAGTGTAGTAAAACAAAAACCATTGGCAAAATAATCACAACGGTCACTCAAATAAAAGCACAATAAAATTAACAGCCAATGAGAGCTCAAAGTAAAAACACGCAAACAGCTTCAAGCGCGGGAAAATTCGAATAACCTTGTCGCGATTGGTTTAAGTTTTTAATCTGATTGGTAGAGAAAGTGGCGCGAATTTCATGGACCAACCCCAAATCCAAGCAAAACAAAACCAAAGCTATGCCGGTGCTCAATCAAAAATTATTCTATCTTAGTATTGGTTTCGCCACACCCTTGTCTCGTACCCAGACCTTCCGCGACCAAGCGGTGGGCATTTCAATTACAGTTAAACGATATGATCTGGGTACGAGATTACCACACGAACCAAAGTGCTCTAAACTAAACTCCACTAACCTGGGCAAGGATTGACGTTGCATGCCTGGGTTCTTAAATTTGTTCCATAGCATTTCCTGCCGCCATATTTTGGCGCTGGAGTGTCACAACGTCGCTTGCTATACCGTTTTCCAGCTCCACAAGTTTTTGAGCATGCGCCCCAGTTTCCCCAATTGGACCATCCTCCATGAACTAAAAATGCAGAACGATTATGTCATATGGCTACTCATGATCATTTCGTAGATATTTGGGCGTTTCTTGTACGAAAAATAATGCTTTTGAGATAATCACAAAGAAAAGAACTAGATTTCAAATTGACCGGAGATTTTCTTTAAACTTTCCTCAATTGTTACCCACAATATGGTTATCCGCAACATTTGATTAAAATAGTCAATGGGGATGGTTCATGATATATATATAACTTGGTCAAAATATTTCTTACATCCTTGGAATTACACCTTGGGGAAGTTTCTCTCAATATGCTCACTTATGGTCTGCAGAAAAAGGAACGCTACTTTTACTATGAAATTCAGAACACTATGAACACAGGAAATACTGCTGAAACGTTGTTGTGTCGAGCAACAACCACCAATTAAACAGGGAGAAAAGGAAATTGTGTTTTGCAGTTTGCTTGTCCGTACAAACGTCCTAATTTGTAACGTGGTCGGTGAAATGTGGTACACACTACCCAAATATTTCAGGTGTTTTAAGGTTTTCTGTGTTTAACAGCATTAAGGTCTTGAAAGAATAACTTTCTGAAGTGTTTATATGTATACTGATCTTTAGGAACGGTGTTTTTTATGTTATAGCCACAGGTTCTAATAGATCATGATAATTTGTTCTCTAAAACATTCCACAAGTAATTAGCCCCGAGTAAATTTCTTTAGAATATCGGTATCCCTAATCAACATGGAAATCATATCTCTTACCAGGACAGTGATGAATGTTACAACTCTTGGTCTGTCTGTTCACGCCAGTGCAATGTTTGCCACTGTATGCCGGGGGAGGCTTGGTACAGGTCCTTGTTCGAAACTGTGACCCAGTGCCACACGATTTAGAGCAGGCCCACCATTTACCCCAGGGACCCCAGCCTCCATTTACTGCAAGTAATGCACACAGTTACAGAAAAATTTCAGGAAATTTTTTCGCATTTCCCATAAATTTTATCAGTTGATGAGACGGAAATTCTAGTTCTAGAATTGGTCCGAAAGACTCAGTCAAAACCAAGACTTTCAAGAGCCAAGAATTACAGTGATTGTTTTAGTTAACATGTTGCTTACCAGGACAGCGCCGAGTGTTACAGTGTCTGGACTGCTTGGTTAACCCACTGCATAGTTTACCACCATAGGTCGGAGGAGGCCTGGTACAAGTCCTTGTGCGGTGCTGCCATCCACTGCCACACGATTTAGAGCATTCGCACCATTTGCTCCAAAGACTCCAGCCTCCATTTACTAAAAACAAAATCAAAAGAAGAAAAAGAGAATGGAAAGGACATGCGTTTCTATGTCTTACTAATGATATCTATACCAAGTAGCTGTGGTCGCATTACAGTCCATTCAACGATATGGAACCATAAGAGAGCCAAATAATCGTTTTGCTTAAGACATCAGGATATAAATCGATATTTGGAATATTTGATTGGTTCCTGTCAGCCTTTGCCAACCAATGAACAGTCGCAGCTGATGCGGATTTGTAAAATGATCCCACTGATAATCCCATGATTACCAATCTTTTTACCAGCTTCCCTTCTTAGCAAATTTGCTTACAAATAAGGAATTGAAGCATGGTCCTTTTATAAAAATTTATCTTTTTACCTGGACAAGTTTTAACATTGCACGATCGTGATCTAACATTTGATCCATAGCAGTTCCGCCCGCCATATTTTGGTGCAGGATTGTTACATTTTCGCTTGCTATACTGCTTTCCGACTCCACATGTTTTTGAGCATGCACCCCAGCTACCCCAGGTTGACCATCTTCCATTAACTGAAAATGAGAAAAAAAATTGGCTCAGAGTTTCAACTGATACGATCGTTTCCCATATACATGAAATGACCGATAGCGTCTTGTTTACTTGTACAAACTAAATATTAAGAAACTAAAAAAAA